TTAACGACTGAGCCACCCAGGCGCCCCCCCAAACGAATTTTATAATCAACTCTTCTAGCTGCAGTGGAAAATAAGTGGTGACAAAAAATTTTAAATTTATATGTCTATAAAATCACATTAAAGAAGTATCTAATACCTCAAATTATGAAATGCCTTAAACACGAATTAGTATTGCATTTGGCGAAATGTTTTTTCTGCATCTAGGTATTTTTCTTCTTAATCTATTCATGAGAATGTGTCGTAACAACCCATTTTCTCCTATTGAAGCACCCTAGGATTTCTGAAATAAATCACATTTAATCATGGTGTGTTACTTTTTACTGTCTAATAATTCATTTAGGATTTTGTATTAGTATTCACAAATCAGACAGGCCTGTAGCTTTATTTATTGGTGAAATCTGTGTTAGTCTTCGGGATCAGTATCATACCTATGTCATAGAAAGAATCAAAAGTTTTCCTTCTTTTTAAATCATCAGGAATAGCTTAAGGTGCACGGAGATTCTTCGATCTTTAAGGGTAGAAGTGAGTTCCCCATGAAACCATCTGCACCTGGTACTCTTTGGTGTGGAAACTCTTTAACTATTTTATTATTGCTTCCATGGTGATTGAACTGTTTCATCTTTCTGTCTTTATGGGATCAACATGGATAGTAGACTACTACACATTTTCAACGAGGAACAGAAAAGAGAAAAGAGGAGGTAATGTTTTCCACTTAACTTCCATTGACCCTTTTTCTTCTCCTTGCCTTCCTTAAGGTCTGCGGATACCTAAAGCCCCGGAGCCTCGTGATACTGACATGGCTCACTTGCCCGACAGGACTCTGAGGATTGTTCTGGTAGGGAAAACAGGAAATGGGAAGAGCGCAACAGCAAACACCATCCTTGGGAGAAAAGAATTTGAATCCAGAATTGCTGCTCACGCTGTTACCAAAGAGTGTCAAAAAGCATCCCAGGAACGGAACGGGAGGAATCTTCTTGTTGTTGACACCCCGGGGCTCTTTGACACCAGGAAGACCCTGGAAACCACCTGCAAGGAAATCAGCCGTTGTGTCCTCTGCTCCTGCCCCGGGCCGCACGCCATCCTCCTGGTTCTGCAGCTGGGCCGCTATACAGAAGAAGAGCAGAAGACCGTGGCATTGATCAAGGCTGTCTTTGGGAAGGCAGCCTTGAAGCACATGATCATTTTGTTCACTCGCAAAGATAACTTGGAGGGTCAGAGCCTAAGTGACTATATAGCAGGTGCAGATGTAGCCCTCAGGAACATCATCCAGGAATGTGGGAACCGCTACTGTGCCTTCAACAATAAAGCCACGGAAGCCGAGAAGGAAGCTCAAGTGCTGGAGCTGATAGCGCTGATAGAGGACATGGTGTGGAGCAAGGTCGGGGCTTACTTTTCTGATGCCATTTACAAGGATACAGACGAAAAGCTGAAACAAAAGGCAGAAGTCCTGAAGAAAATCTACACTGATCAATTAAGAAATGAAATTAAACTGGTAGAAATGGAATATGCTCATCAATCACAGCAAGAACGGGAGGGAAAAATAAAAGCGCTGAAGATGAAGTATGATGAAAAACTAAAAAATCTAAGGGAAGAAGCCGAGAAGGGTATACTTGAAGAGGTTTTAGATAGGATTATGAAGGTGCTTTCAAAAATACGGCATATGTTTTGGTAGTCATGTCAATTTCACTTTTGCTCCTGAATTTACTATGATTTGTAATAGTGCTAGACTGTATTTTCCAAAGATGGCTTTGACAATAGATTCTGTCCTCCTCATTCTTCTTACAATCTGACTTCGTTACTTCTCCCACTAAGTTGCGGGGTCTATGTCCCCTACCTTGGAATTGGAATTGGATGGACTCTGTGACTGTTTTGGTAAATAGCAGATGGCTGAAGCAACCCCTTGGGACTCTAAGGCTAGACGCGGAAAATGCCCCCCTGCCCTGCTGGGGTGCTTGCCCTTGGAAATGGGCCATCATGGTGTGAGAAAGGCCATGTTGCCCATTGAGAGGCCCCCAGCTTGACGTCGCTGGCCAGCTCCCCTTTTATCTTCTTTTATCTTTTATCTTCCAGCTGGACCAACTTGCTAGCCATACAAGCAAGGTGACTTGGAAGCAGGTTCTCCACCTGCCCCACCACCTCGGACAGAGTTGCCAAGAGCAAAGATGAGCAATCCCCACTGAGTCCTGCCCAAACTGCAGATTGATGAGAAAAAAATAAATGATGGTTGCTCTTTTAAGCCACCGAGCTTCAGAATGGTTTGTTCTGCAGTGACAGCTAACCAGAATGAGACCTCTTCCCAGCTTGGTCCCCACCACCTCCCATTCCGTGCCCCACCCCTCTCCGTCCCTCTTCACAGTGCCGACAAATTTAAGAAGTTACAAAACTGGCATTCTCAGGCAATGATGTATAGACTTGAAGGACTCAGTTTAGGAAAATTCAAATACGAAATCCTGCCTACATTACGTGGGCGTGCCACTGGTGGCATGTGCTGCTGCAGGGCTGGTCTATGAGTAATTTGTTAGTGAAGCATCGGGTTTCTCTGGAAAGCTGCTTCTGTCGTTCACGGAGATCTCAAAGATGGTAGATTCTCTTAATGCTTTTCTCTCTTTTCTTTTTTAGGTCCCATCCTAACTGAAAATGTGTCTGACTGTAACTAAAAATCTCTTCTGTGCCAAATATTTTTCACTGGCCTCTGCAGACCCACGCTTCCGCCTTCTTCACCCTAGCTCTCTGCCCCAGGAGGCTGATCTCTATGGACTACATTGGTGGGATGTCTCGCTCTCTGACTTCTGCTTGGCCTGGCCAGTGGGAAGTCCAAGTAGGAGACCCCGGGGGAGTAGAAAAGCAAGACTGGGTCTTCGTTCTCCTGCCTCTCTCCCTGCAGGGCCATCTCTGACCAGCCACAACCCCAAGCCAACGGTGAGAGCTCCTCCCAAGACAGCCTCTCTACCCAACTCACCTTCTGGGTTCCAGTCTTTGTCCACCCCCTTAGGGTTGGGATATCATCTTCTCACCGTTACTAGCACTCCCCCTTGTCATTCCCAAAGCCCTGAATCCAGAGTTTGTAGGAAGTCCCTTCTCTGAACTTTCCCCCTGGGACCCGATGAGAGTAGGCCATCTTTTTGCTGCTAGAGTTCTGATGGATAAATCTTAAGATTCCCACTTTTCTTTCAGAGCATGCCCTGATCTTTATGGCTGTTGTTGGTTTGAAATTCCCTCTAGTCTTTTCTGCCACCAGAAAAATCTCTTCCTTCCCCTTCCAAGCTGTGACATTGGCAGTGAGTATTTGAAAGGTTGTGTCTTGCTAAAACAATTGAGAAACTTCGAAGTTGGAGGGGTGACTTTCTATCACGTACAGTGATTGCAGACATCCCAAATTCAAATCATTAGAATTTTTTAAAAAAGATTTTATTTATTTATTTGAGAAAGTGAGAGCCAGAGAGCAGAAGTGGGGTGAGAGAGCACGAGCAGGGTGAAGGGCAGAGGGAGACGTGGACTGCCCACTGAGCTGGGAGCCCAGTGTGGGGCTCGATCCTCTGACTCCAGGATTAGGATGTGAGCTGAAGGCGGATGCTTAACGACTGAGCCACCCAGGTGCCCCCAAATCATTGGAATTTTTACAGTCATCTTTGTTTTGACTATGAACACGACTAAGAGTATTTACTGTATCCATGAATTTTAGGGAGACGGATTAGAGATTACGTCTGGAAAAAATAAGATCCTAAATCTCTGCTCATTCTAAGGTTCATCACAAGTATTAGGAAGGGAGTAAAAACAACACGGAAGAAAAAAACTCTCATAAAGCAAACATATTCATAACATATGTCAAATAACACCGCTGGACCAAACTGCTCTTTGCCTTCATGCGATTCTTATATTCAAAAATACTTCCTTGTGAGCGACTCATCTGTGCAGTAGTATTCATGCCGTGTCCTGATGTTTTTCATTTAAAAACCATTTAAAAGGCATTTTCCCTCCGAGATGTGCAGAAGCATTATGAATTCGATTAACCTGTGTTAAGGCCTATTGAACATGCAACTTCTGTGAGCTGATTTGTTTTCTCTCAGCCTTATATTCTATTTTGGAAGGTAAGACATACTCAGCGGAAAAAAGGAGTAAATCAAATAAATCATTGTCTTTTTACTTGACAAATGAAATATTGCTCACTCATCTGAACATATTTTATATCCGAGTTTTCTGAGTGCTGAGGACTCTGGAAGTTCCAGCCTTTAATGTGTGCATGATCCCCGTTATTGAAATATGTGCTAGTCATGATCCATAATGCAGAATTTAAACTAGGATTTATAGAGGAAGACCTGAGGAAGAATTCAGGGCTTGAAGTCTACTGTGAAGGATGTGTGGGATGCGTCCACGTGGGTGATGGGTCCGACGATCATGCTTCTTTTCAGAAATAGGAAAGTTAAGGGTGACAGGTAAGGTTGTCAGGGGAAGGGTAGAGTCAGGAGCAATAGCGTTCAGTTAGGTTTGTGACAAGTTGAATATCATTTGTCAAAGGTAGGGTCCAATGTAAATGATCTGCATTAACTTGAAATTTGGGTCTGAAGATTATGTGAAAGGCTTGGGGTGAATGTGGCAGGATAGCAACATAGATATCTCCCTCAACTGCAGCTGAGTCTTCAATAATTGCCAATATCCCCACCGTCCAAAGCTATACTCTAGAAGATCCGTACAGGACTTGCAAAGGAAGGAGCGAGAACCAGTTTTGTGAGGTTTAGTTCTTCAACTAATCTGATAGGTATTTGAAGGGGTCAAGAGGAAAAGTTTGTTTGTTTGTTTGTTTAAAGATTTACTTCATTGAGAGAGAGAGAGAAAGGGAGAGAGAGAGACGGTGTGCGGTGCCCAAGTTGGGGGAGGGGCACCGGGAGAGGGAGAATCCGGAAGCAGTCCCTGCTGAGCAGGGAGCCCGACTTGGGACTTGATCCCAAGACCCTGAGATCACGACCTGAGCCAAAATCAAGAGTCAGACACTCAACTGACTGAATCATCCAGGTGCCCCGGATTTTTTTTTTTTTTTAAGTTTCAAAAAACAGAAAGAGAGAGTGTCTACGGTCTACAATGTCTATGAATCCCTTTTCTACAATGATTAGCCTATGGCCAGTTTGCCATCTTGAATTTGAAATCCCCGGTCTCTTGTTAAATAGAAATAAAATATAGTAAGAATGTGCAAACTACTTTTACATATTTATATTCACACACCATCACTTGTGGCCGTTCACAACTTGTAAAAAGAAATTCTAATTCAAAGTACAAGTTGTTATTACTTCAAATAAGCAATAATAAAATTAATAAAAAAATCAACCTCCGAAGTTTTCTGTAAACAGTCTGGGCTTTTGAAGCTCCACCGTCAGGACTCTGAAGATCAGAGTCAGGCAGGACAGCGTGCGCTGGCCATTTCGCTCAGCTCAGGTCGGAGCTGGGACGGTCCTTCACTAGGCAGCCGTGGCAGGGCTGGGTAGGGGGCATGCACCTTGCACCTTAACCTCATATCCTGTGAAGTGCCCGCAACCCCATGTGACGGGTGAGATGAGAACAGGGCAGGATATGGTTGTGGGGAAGACAGAAAAGAGGTGCGGTCGTGCACAGGTAAATTTACAACAAGTTTGTGTTCTTGTGAGAAGTTCTTGTGAGAAGCTTGTGGGTGTTCTTGTGAGAGGCTTCTGAGAACCGGGCTGACATCGACTGTGGACCACACACTTCCTGGGGGCTGTCCTGTGAGGTGTGTAGGAATCATCCTCCGCTCTCTTTCCTATGTAATTTCTCTTTTCCCCCCAATATTTTTGTGCACTCCACCAAATGTGCCGGCCGGGTGCCCACTGATTTCTTTCTTTTCCTTTTAAAAATTTTATTTATTTATTTATTTATTTATTTATTTATTTATTTATTTGAGAGAGAGAGAGAGAGAGAGAGAGAGAGAGAGTGCGAGCGGGGGGTGGGGTGCAGGGGCAGAGGGAGAAGCAGACTCTCTGCTACGAGCCCAGGGATCCTGACCTGAGCTGAAGGCAGACGCTTAACCGGCTGAACCACACAAGCGTCCGTCCACTGACTTCTTCACAGCCAGGAGGAAGCCAGGAAAACAGTGGAGGCAGATTTTCAGTGTGCTGAGAGAAAAGAACAGCTAGCCTGAAATCCTGCACTCAGGGAAAATAGCCGTCAAAAATGAGAGCAAAGTACACACATTTCAGGGGCGCCTGGGTGGCTCAGCGGGTTAAGCATCTGACTTTGGCTCAGGTCGTGAACCTGGGTGTCATTAACAAATGTCAGCCATAACAGAGAATTCCCTATGTATGTAGGGAACATATGTAGTGATCCTTGTAACCCCAATAAGGACTCTCTAAGTAATGGCTTGGGGGTTTAATAGTACTTAAAATTTCAATTGGATCATATTGTACATCAATCTCTGCTCTCACTCCCACACTTAAATAAACAATGATACAAACCTTCTGGCTGGGCTTACGCTTAGTAACAAAATATCATCTTACCTGTTCTCTCTTTAAATCACTTCGGAATCACAGACATGTGTTTACACCCTGCCTGTTCTTTTGACTTGCTTTTTTTGCCTATCTCGCCCAAGGGCTGAGTCGTCCTTGTTATTTGGGTTATATTGTTCTAGAATGTTCTTTATCCTCACTCCTAGTGCACACTTTATTCCATTGCCCCGTCTCCTGTTACCCTGTGCTTGTGTGCACAAGGCCGACCACATACTATCCTCGGAGATATTTATGTCTTCTATTTTATCTCTTTGGAATTGTTAGCAGTTTGTATAATTACTCAAGTGTTACGCAACTTGAAATAAAGTCTCAGTTATGGGGTATGATTGTAAATTGGTACCTCTTTCATAATGGAATCCATGTCTCTAGAGAACTGGGATCCATGCTGCTCACCACCCCCCTAATAGTCTCACAGTTTACATTTTCATGACAGATAGTGTCAGATGCCAAGGATTAGCCTATTGCAAATGGTCTGAGCACCATCTCGCAGGGTGACTCTGGACCCGTCTCATTAGTTAAAAGCGGATCAGTTACCCTCACTTGCTTCAAGCAGAGGAGACCTTGGAAATTGCAGCTGTCTCTCCCCCAGTGACTGGGAGGGAGGAGAGGAGGTAGGGCTGCCTATGCTGATACAGGCCTAAAGCTCCAGGGGCAGGTGTTGGGCTGGAAGGCCTGATGTGCTGAAACGTGGGGTCCGGGACCGCAGGCTTTACGCAATAGCTGGCAGCCTCTGGTTTCGACTCAGCGGTTTTTTCAGAATGTCACAGCATAACCCATATTTTATCCCTCACGGTAGAGTGTTTGCATGGCAGAATATGGTAGCTAATAGGCAGATGCGGCTATTTAACTTTAAATTAATTCAAATGGGGTGCCTGGCTGATTCCATCAGTGGAGCTTGCAACTCTTGATCTCGGGGTCGTGCGTTTGAGCTCCCCGTTGGGTGTAGAGATTACTTAAAAATAGAATCTTTAAAAAAATTAATTCAAATGAAGTAAAATTAAGAATTCGGTTCTGCAATCACACCTAGATCACATTTCATGTGTCAACAGCCCATGTGGTTAGTGGCTACCCTATTGGACTGCACGAATCAAATCCATGATTGAGAAAGTTCTATTTCCGGGCTAGATGCTGAAGCGGGCAGGTCTCTTACATGAAGATGTTTGAACAGCTCCTCCCCTCACTTCCTCTCTCCTTTTTCTCAACATTGCGGCTTAGCATTGCCTTCAAAGTTAGAGAAGGGAGCAGGACTCAGATTTTCCAGGTAAGAGAAAAGGGGTATTTGGGGGGGGGACAGAGTGTAACATGTGATTTGGTGGAGAGAGGACCCCTGCCCTGGGTGTAGATCTTAAACCTACCGGCATACTTGTTCTCAGAAAGTATATTTCTTGTTGGTTCCTATTTCCAGTATTTGCTGACGTTAAGCTGTAGATTTGGTGGTTTTTTTTTTTTTTTAAGATCTTATTTATTTGAGAGAGAGAGGGAGTGAGCTCATGTGGGCTCGTGAGAGAGCACCAATGGCGGGGAATGGCAGAAATAGAGAGAGAAGCTGGTTCCCCACTGAGCAGGGAACCCGATGTGGGGCTGGATCCTAGGACCCCGGATCATGACCTGAGCCGAAGGCAGACGCTTAACCAACTGAGGCCCCCAGGAGCCCTGTTTTTTATGTTTTGTTTGGTTTTGTTTTTTTTGTTTTTAAAGCAGGAGGGGGCAGGTAGAGACAGAGGAGAAGGAGAAAGAGAATCAGAACATTAAACAGGCTCCATGTCCAGTGTGGAGCCCAACTGGGCCCTGAGATTATGACCTGAGCCAAACTCAAAGAGTAGGCCACTTAGCCGACTGGCGTGAGCCAAGCTACTCATGCTGTTTGACAAAGTCCAAGTATGGGGGACAATCCTGAAAATCAAGAGACTCCACCGCTGGCTCCTGCTACTTCCTTTCATTTTATTTGAGGCAATCTTTATAATCATGGGATTTTTTCTGGGGTTTCATGATAAAATGATTTATAAATTTAGTTATGCCTATGTAAGCAATCACAATGAAACTGATTCCAAAGGGGCTGACGATGGGCCAAGAAGTAAAAATACCCAACGTCCTCCAATCCGTAATTCATCTAACATGAGCAACGCGGAGTTCTTTAATAAGTTTCGCTTAAGGGAGCTGTTGGATCCAGGCCTAGTAAAAGTCCCTATTGATGAGATTCCTCGGGCACCTCTGAACCATCAGAGTTCTAGGAAAGGAAAATCTCATGTCCTTCCCACAGCACAGGGACCTCCCTATGTTATTTGATAGGATAGGGTGCACACATTGTAAGTTGCCTTGGGAGCAAGAATAAACTTTAGATAATCTTTAAGCAAGAGTAAAAATATAACTTTTTCCGCATTAGCACACAATAGCAGATAGGTAACGCTTCGTCTCGCACGGTCACGCTCTGTCTAGTACCTTTGTTTTTAAATCCAAAATGATTTAAGATGACTGTAATAAGATGTAAAAAATAAAATCACATGTTATGAAAGAATGGAAAAAACAAGGAAATATTCTAATGTATAAATAAAGTCCCTCCGAGGCTCTCGGGAGGAGATGCTCGCAGCCTGATCCTGTGTCCGTGTCTCCTCCCTCGCCGACGCCGTGCTTTCCTTCAAGGACCCTTTCCCTGCTGGAGCTGGACTCCGGCAGCCGACTGAGCCCCCCAGGGGCCCCTGGATACTTGTTCTTCAGGCAGTGGAAGGACTCAGCCACCAGGGCCAGTACCACAGAAGTGCAGTCCTCTGTTTTCACATCTAAACTGGGAGAAACAGCACATCATTGCAGAATGAAGAGAGGGCCCAGGGGCATCACAGTGGCTCAGTCTGTTGAGTGTCTGACTCTTGACTAGGGCTTGGGTCATGATCTCAGGGTCCTGAGTCTAGCCCCACGTCGAGATCTGGACTGGGCATGAAGCCTGCTTAAGATTCTCTCTCCCTTCCTCTCTGCACCTCCCCCAACTCACTTAAGTAAGATCTTTAAAAAAGAGAGAGAGAGAGAGAGAGAGAACGCCCACATGCTGGAACAAGGACCTTAAGAAACACCCAAAACCCTTTTGTTTTCCTATTTCTGTTCTCCTACTTACTCCCTAACACCCATCACCAACACCAACTTTGTGGCCAAAGCTGACTTTGAAAAAGTCTGTGATTTCTCTTCTCAGTTTACAAGAAGGTGTTTCTTACTCCCTATGCATAAAGGATAAAGAAATAACTCTTCCTACAAAAGGAGTGTCTGTCTTCCTAATACTGTTTTAAATGTTTTTGGATGGCTTCTTATCAGATGAACCTGTCCCTAACAACTAGTATTTTCAGCCAGTCCTAACCAAAGTCTGCTCCAGTGAGAGTTCTTTCTTAGGAAACAATATTCAACCAAGCAAATTGGAAGATCCAGTTGGTTTTATGGAGCATTCATGAATCAGGCAGCAGCCCACCCTGCAAGGAGAGGGGCCCTCCACAGAGCCACACAAAAGAAAGGCATAAAGGCACAGAGAGGACATTAAAAAAGAAGAAGCAGAAAGGAATTTATTAGCAAGGAATGCATTGTTTAGGCACACTGGCTTCCATAAGTGGGGGGGTGTATGGGGTCTGTCAGTAAATCCCTAGGATTGCTGGGGAAGGGTGCCCAGAAGCAGTACCAACAAAGCCCTCCAAGCATCTGTTTGTGTAGAGAAAAAGGAACAATCTGAAGAGGAGCCAATCTGGAGAGTGGAGAAGCTTTGGGAAATACGGGAGGAGAAAGCAAGCAGCAAGTTTACAGGAAAAAGCAATTGCTGGCCAGGGAAGGCTGAGGTTTCCACTTACTTTCCGTGTCCCTAAAATGACTAGTTGTGTTCCTTTCTGTGCAGGAGTTCCCGCTACAATGTCAGCCCTGAAGAGTGGTGCATGCTCCAGCAAACCTGGGAGCCTTGGTGAGAGGATGTTGGGGGGGCGTCGCCTGTGTGTGTGGGGGGAAGGAAGGAGAGCTAGCAGCCAGCCCTCATCCTTGCTGGAGCAAAATATCCCACCCCCATATCTGATTTCCTCTCCATTTACTTCCTCTGGACCCCCTGCACCTTCTCCTGCTACAGGGCCTTTCTGTGTCTCTTCCCCTGACTTGCTGCTCCCTCTCACTAGGCCTACAGATGCCCTAGGGATGTCCCCAGGTTGGAGTCTTCCATTGTCCTGCTGACTGAATAATCATCTGAACTCCCATCCACATTTTTCCCTTAGATAATCCTCACCATCCTGTATTCAGTGCTCTTGGTTTCTGGAAATCTCCTTCTCTCACCCAGGATTCTGGTGATCAGATGTGAGAAACTGCATCAGGGATGGTTTTGCTAATGCTCAGAAGCGATGGGGGTGATACCTACAGATTTTGTGGAAGGCAGAGTTGGGGGTTCTGCAATAGCTCTCCTCTGTTTGCTATTTTTAAAAGAATATTCCAATTTACAGAGTAGACCGAAGGGGACAAAATGGAAGCAGAGAGACCAACTGGGAGCCTCCTCCGGAGGCATGGATGCCGATGGTAGCTTGAGCCAGTGTGCTGGGCTTCACAGTGGAGAGAAGCAGACAGATTTGCAGGTGGAGCCAAGGGAGGTTGCTGATGGGCTGGATGGGGAAAGGAAGGGAAAGAGAAGAATCAAGAGCAATGCCTAGATTTTTGGTCTGGGCAACTGGGTAAATGGCGATACCCTCTCTGAGAAATAAAACGGAATTTATAATAGTGTCTGGAGTTGTGAGTGTGGGAACGTATGCATCACCTTCAAGCCGAAATGGATGGTTGTAATACAGGATTCCTCATGCAGGAACCAGACTCACTCGAGGGCCGGGCCAGCAGGGTCTGCCTTCTCGGAGAAACAGGCTCCCAAATGAAATTGCCCATTGTCTTCCATCCCGGGGTTCCCAGTTCTACGCTTAACAAATCCTGAAGCCCAGGACCCTGTAGACACAGGAAGGACGTATGCAGAGAAATAGTGAAGACAAATGTAGAAGAGCTGTATGGATGATTTGGTGTTTCACTCAAGGCTCGGTCATTCTGAGAACAGAGTTTCTATTGCTAAGCCGTGCTGTGCTGGGATTAGCTGACCACTTTCCTAGGAAGGAGAATGCGCTTCATCTAGTGGAACTAAGAAAGGATAACTCCACCGGCACTAACCTGTATGGGTTTCTTTCTTTCATTTTTTAATCTATCAAGGGATTTTAAAGTCACTTCAGCAAACTGTCAGCATTTTCTGGCTAGCATTCTTTAATGTATTGATTTCGAATGTAAAAAATGTCCCCAGATTCGAAGCTAAGGTCTTTAATTTTAAATGGAGGAATGTTGTCCTCTCTCGCGTCACAATCCCTGACAGGGTGGTCCCGCACAGGAACTAGAAAGGGACGCTTGGTCTTTCTGCCCAGGCATCCCTATTGTACCCTGCCAGGATGGGATGGGCTGTAGAACCCCCTACCTGGCTTCTTAACGGGAAGAAGAAAAGTCCCATTTTGACTACAAACTGGGGGAGGAGCGCCCACAGAGACGTCCCAAAGTCGGATTTCGAGTTACTTCCTGCATTGCTCTTATGGGGAAGAGCTACCTGCAGCAGCTCAGAATTCTCCTCTTGAGCTCTTTTGTTTCCTCTTCTGTGGGCTACTTAGCTACAAAAGGTAAGAGTAAGAAGCCCGACGGAATCCTGGAAAGTCCTTGGGCCTTCCCCACGTGCGGCAAGAGGAACATCAGGCTTTCTATAGACTTTCAATAGGGCTTCTGCAGAAGGGCCTTCTGTAGCGTTCCTGCGAGTGCAGAGGTCACTCACGGGCGGGGAGCCTAGGGCAAGAGAGGAGGAGTGTGTGAGCGGAACAGGAGCCCTGCTGGGGAAGGGGCCAGAGGTCCATCCTGATGCCTTGGCTTTTGTTTCCTGATGTCCCAGGGCTTGGAAGCCAAGACCACAGAGATTCACAGCTGAGACTTGTCTTAGTGGGTAAGACTGGAGCAGGAAAAAGTGCAACGGGCAACAGCATCCTTGGAGAGAAAGTGTTTCTTTCCAGCCATGCAACAAAATCAGTCACCAAGGTCTGTCAGAAAGGAGCCAGCTGGTGGCAAGGGCGAGAACTTGTCGTCGTGGATACGCCTGGCATTTTCGACACCGAGGTACGGGATGCTGACACTGGCAAGGAGATCGCTCACTGCATCCTCCTGACCTCCCCGGGGCCTCACGTTCTGCTCCTGGTGGTCTCACTGGGCCGGTACACGCTGGAAGAGTACAGGGCCACGAAGAAGGTTCTGGAAATGTTTGGAACCCAAGCTAGGAGATACATGATTCTCTTATTCACCCGGAAAGATGAGTTGGAGGGCATGAGTTTCCATAAATTCTTAGAGGACGCTCCAGACGGCATCCGAGAGCTGGTGGATGAGTTTGGGGATCGCTACTGCCTGTTCAACAATCGGGCGACAGGAGCTGAGCAGGAGGCCCAGAGAACGCAGCTGCTGGCCCTGGTCCAGCGCGTCGTGGTGGAGAACAAAGGAAAATGCTTCACCAATAAGATGTACCGAAAGGCCGAAGAGGAGATTCAGAAACAAGTCCAAGTGACACAAGAATTTTACAGAGCAGAGCTAGAGAGACGGATGGTGCAGATCAGAGAGGAGTTCGAAGAGAAAATCAGAAAGCTGGAGGACAGACTGGAGCAGCAGAACCAAAAGGAAGAAATGGAGCGAGAATTAGCAGAGAAGGAGGCTCTCTATGCTCTAAAGCAGCAAAATGCCAGAGATGAAGTTGAGAGTCAAGCTGGGATACTTGACTTAATCGTGCAAGCATTGCAGATTGCTCGATTTGTTTTCTCACTTCTGTTTAAGGAAGATTAAAAGGAATGCAAAGATCTATTTCCTGCATGTTTCCTGGTGATCCTACCCCCACACTCATTCACCAAAGTCAGAGTGCTCTCAGCTGCGTCTCCCAGGCTCTCCCAACTAAGCGATGTAATAAAGTTCACCGTTAGCGATTGGCAGAGGTCTGGTTGACTTAACAGGGGAGGGCCAACTTGTCAATTTGTGGAACTCCAAAGCAGAAAGTATGGATGCTCTCTACCTTGTGAATTCTTCAAAGAAGATGACCCCAAACTTTCTCTTTTGCTCCCTAGTAAAAGTTTCTCCTCTAGATTCTTTTTAGATTGCTGGATCATCTGCCTCTGTGACTTCTACTCCCTTATTTTTGCCTTTAGGACACAGTGATCACCTCACCCATATGGTTTATTAGAAAGATTGGTTTTGTGTTGGGTAATCTATAGATGGAGAGGCTTATAGAATTCTTTCCAGATGATTGGAAATTTGTTTAATTACAATTTTGCAGAAGGACTCAAATTGATCCTTATCGTCTGCGCGTTGAAGAACAAAGGGTCATCTGGAAAATAGATCTCTCGGAACTCAACTAAGTGAAATGCCAGAAAGGGTGGATGACAGACAGAAATTCAACACATAAGGGAACAATGTTTGCTGTGTTCAGACACATCTATAGCAGCTCTTTGACTAAATTCAATGCAATATATTTGCTGAATTAACCAGTTCTCTCCTTTTCTTGTGACACTAACTGTTGCTACCACACCTTGATTACTTGCTGCTTTTTGTAGGTCATCTGCACACTACCACGCCCCACCCAGCTGAATTGCTTGCTTCTTGTTATGAGAATAAAACTTTTCTGTTCTCTCATACTTGTACAGAATTGGAGTCCACTTTTTCTTGGAAAATACCGCTGCTCCTTCTTCTAAGAACACAGGGCAAGTTTCACTTTTGGGTAAAAGTTCAAGATGATTTGGGAGCTGGTCTTGGTCAACCCTCAAGACATCTCTCCTCCTTTTCCCGGGAAGATTCTAGCCACATTCCCAACCCCTCCGCCAGTCAACCACCACATCTCCTTGGATTCATTCATTCTGCCCTGATAGAAAGCTTGTGTAACCAAGGTTCCAGAAATCATGTGTAACGAAGGTTTCATGTGTAACCAAGGTTTCATTCTTCACTGATAGAAATCGTGTGACCTTTCTGGTTTTCCCGGGGCAAAAATTCCCCTTTAAGGTATGGGTAACAGTAGGAGGTGTCTCTCTCCCTTTTCTACTGGGTACTTCTCACCTAATCATTTCCAGAGCTTCCCGAAGCACATTTTCATGTTCTACGAACATGTCCTGGTGGTCATATGTGACTTATGCCAACTCTCCTTGCTCTGCCATCTTGAAATGGGCTTCTCCATGCTCCAAGCCATTTTGCCCCAAGGGACATTTATCTCTCCTTCATTTTCCCAAAACGCATATGAGTTTAGACTGTACATTTTAAAAAAAGCTTTTATTTCTTTATTTGAGAGAGAGAGAAAGTGAGAGACGGAGCACGAGTGGAGGGGGAGGGGCAGAAGGAGAGGGAGAAGCAGACGCCCCATTGAGGAAGGAGCCCCATATAGGGCTCCATCCCAGGACCCTGCTATCATGACCTGAGCTGAAGGCACACACTTAACTGACTGAGCCAGCCAGGCCCCCTAGACTGTACATTTAATAAAAGTTAGCAAAGCCTTGAGGATAAGAGAAGCACAGCACAAAAAAGCTGACAATTCCTTTCAAAATCGTCACTCTGAGTGAGGCAGATTTGATTTCACACTCTAGAATGTGGGTGCGCTTTGAATCTACTGTTTTTATCATTGGAGTTTCAGCCAAAATTCCATTATGAATTTAAGATCCTATTGCGTTATGGCTTTCTGTAAGCAAATATTTAATCAAAGAGCCACATCTACCTCCTAAGAAAAAGGAAATACAGGGTCATGACATGGGAGGCCCACATGAAGTACCCTGAGAGCAGTGTTGCCCACTTGTCTCCCAGGGCAGAAGGCAGATAGAGGTCCTTGATAAATACTACCCATTGTGGTTCATACAACAGGAGGATGAAACATGTGGCAAATTCCCATCTCTGGAGGTTTAGGAGCTTATATCTATTCATCCATTCATTAACATTCATAGATTGTTTGACTTCAGGGTAGATTTCATACCATAAGAAAATGCGGAGCATCTAGAGCTAAGTAAAACAAAGTCCCTTTGGAGACTGGTTTCACTCAGTATAAAGATTCTGAGAATCGTCCAAGTGGTGTGTATCCGTAGCTTGTCCTCTTTTATTGCTGGCTAGGATTCCATCTCATGGATGAACCACACTGTCACTTCTTCTGTACTTAGTCTTACGTCCCTAATTGTCTTCTCTCGTCTCATTGTATTGGCTCAAACCTCCATCTCGATATTGAATGGTAGTGGATAGACACACTTGCTTGGTTCCCAATATGTCCCAGTGAAGTAAGTGAGATACTCAACTACAGTAGTCTATAATTTGTGTGTGTGTCATTTTCAGCAAGTATTCTCCAGCCACTTTCTTCTCGAGTGAACAGCTATTCTATTATTTATCGTAAATAGCTAATACATGTTGTCAAAGGCTTTCAAAAATCATCTATGGGAATAACCTTATGGTTCCTTTTCCTTCTACCTATGAATAAGGTGAATGATATTAATAGATTTTCTAATAACAAACCGATTTTTCATTTCTGTTTAAATGCTATTTGGTCAGGATGTATCACATTTGACAATGTGGTGCTGGAGTCTATTTGCTAATAATTTATTGGACATTTTTTGTATGGATACTTATGATAGATACTGGTTTATAGTTTTATCCTTTCGTACATTGTTTGTCAGGCTTAGGTATTGATGCTATACTTCCTTTTAAAAAGCAATTAGGGAAATTTCCCTTCATTTCCAATATTCTGGAACAATTTAAAGAGCCCTGGGGCTATCTGGACTTAGGAGGTTTGGAAGAATTTCCATGCAAAACCATCTGGCCCTTGTGCTTACGTTTTGGCATGGTTCCTGAATGGCTTTCTCTATTTTTTTCCATGTAAATTGGTCGATTTCAACTTTATCTCTCTGGTGGAGACAGTTTTGGTGATCTGTATTTCTCTAGGAAATTATCCATTTCATCTAGGTCTTCACATTTATTTGCAAAGAGGTCTTAAATTTTATTTTATTTTTTTAAAGATTTATTTTTATTTTGAGAGAGTGAGAATGAGAGAGAGAGAGAGAGAGTACATGAGAGGGGGGAGGGTTAGAGGGAGAAGCAGGCTCCTCGCTGAGCAGGGAGCCCGATGCGGGACTCGATCCCGGGACTCCAGAATCATGACCTGAGCCGAAGACAGTTGCTTAACCAACCGAGCCACCCAGGCGCCCGAGGACTTAAATTTTAAAAAATTTTCTCTAATTCAGGGGTCGTTATCTCTTATCATTTTGAAAACTTTATTTGTGCCCCTTTCCCTTTTTTTCTCGAAAAAGTAGTTTAATTTTTTTCAACAAACAAGAATTTTAATGTGTTAACTAAATCTAGTGTTTTGTATTCTCTACTATATCAACTCTTATTTTAATCCTTATTATTTCCATATTTGTGCTTTCCTTTTGGTTTCCTTCATTGTACTTCTCCAGTTTTCTCTTGAGGAGGGATTTGAATTGATTCATTTCCATTATTCTTATTGAAGAAGTCTCAGGTGCTGTGCATTTTCCTTTCCTGGTTTCTTTTTTTTTTTTTTTTCTTAGATATTCGTTTATTTGAGAGAGCGAGCACAAGTGGGGTGGGGGCAGAGGAAGAGGGAGAGCCAGACTCCCCACTGAGCTTGGAGCTTGACATGGGGCTTGAGCCCACGACCCTGAGATCATGACCTGAGCCGAAATTAAGAGTCGATTGCTTAACCAAGTGCACCCCCAGGAGCCCCAGTGTGCACATTTTCTTAAGCATTATATCTCCGATATAGATTTGTGAGTAGGGACATGAGATAGGGAACTTGTAATTTTATTTTTAATTCCGTTTGAGTTAGTAGTTGCTTTTATAGGAAAGATGCTTGGAGCAAGCTTATGGAAATGAGTCCCCTAAGACTTTAAGTCAATTGGTTCTTGTGGAGTAGTGTGGATAGCATTGGAAACAGCCTACATAGCGAAATTAAATGTAGACTACACTTAATATAAAGAGAAATTGTAAAAATTTTACTGTTACTTTTAATTTTTCTAGTCTTTCCTAGCTCCTATCCGTTACTTCTAGGGAAAGACTATAACTAAATGCTTAATCTTGTTTAAAGCAGTCCAATCTGATCTGTTAAAGAGACCCTTTAGACAGGGTTCAGTCTCTCTATGTAGGTGACTTCAATAACTATCCCCCAGCCACGGTGTTCCTCTCCTTCGGTGGGGGATAGATGCCTACGTGACATTGGAATTTGTTGAGAAATTTGTTGTTTGACAGGCAGAATTTGGGACACACCTCTCATTGCTTTATTCCCCCTTCTTCCTCTCTGGTTTCTTTCCCCTGTAAGATGATGGAGTATTCCCAACTCCACTTATCTGGACACCTACTGCATAAAATGTTACTGCACAGCAAATGAGACCTGGACCTTGTCATGCCAGTTGGAGGAGTGATAGAATATAGACAATCCATTCTAAAGAAACACCCTGGATCACGAGGCCGCCATCTTTTAACAAAACCCTATTACTATTTTTTACTATCAGAAGCTGATTCTTCAAAATGGGTGCATTCCTAGAGATGTATCAACTACCAAAATTGAACCAGGAAGAAATAGAAAACCTGAACAGGCTATAACCACTAAGGAAATTGAAGGAGTCATCAAAAATCTCCCAAGAAACCAAAGCCCAGGGCCAGATGGCTTCCCAGGGGAATTGTACCAAACATTTAAAGAAGAATTTAATACCTATTCTCCTCAAACTGTTCCAAAAAAATAGAAATGGAAGAAAAACTTCCAAACTCATTTTATGAGGCCACCATTACCTTCATCCCAAAACCAGACAAAGACCCCATCGAAAAGGAGAATTACAGACCAATATCCTTGATGAACATGGATGCGAAAATTCTCACCAAAATACTAGCCAATAGGATCCAACAGTACATTAAAAGGATTATTCACCAGGACCAAGTGGGATTTATCCCTGGGCTGCAAGGCTGGTTCAACATCTGCAAATCAATCAACGTGATACAATACATTAACAAAAGAAAGAACAAGAATCATATGATCCTCTCAATAGATGCAGAAAAAGCATTTGACAAAGTACAGCACCCTTTCTTGATCAAAACTCTTCAGAGTACAGGGATAGAGGGTACGTACCTCAATATCATAAAAGCCATCTACGAAAAACCTACAGCGAATATCATTCTCAATGGGGAAAAGCTGAGAGCTTTGCCCCTAAGGTCAGGAACGCGGCAGGGATGTCCACTCTCACCACTGCTGTTCAACATAGTATTAGAAGTCCTAGCCACAGCAATCAGACAACAAAAAGAAATCCAAGGCATCCAAATCGGCAAAGAGGAAGTCAAACTCTCACTCTTTGCAGATGATATGATACTGTATGTGGAAAACCCAAAAGACTCCACCCGAAAACTGGTAGAACTCATCCAGGAGTTCAGTCAAGTAGCAGGCTCTAAAATCGATGCACAGAAATCAGTGGCATTCCTATACACCAACAACAAGACAAAAGAGAGACAAATCAAGGACTCGATCCCATTTACAACTGCACTCAAAACCATAAGATACCTAGGAATGAATTTAACCAAAGAGGCAAAGGATCTGTACTCAGAAAACTATAAAATACTCAGGAAAGAAATTGAGGAAGACACAGAGAAATGGAAAAACGTTCCATGCTCACGGATTGGAAGAACAAACATTGTGAAGATGTCAAGGCTACCTAGAGCAGTCTACACATTCAGTGCAATCCCCATCAAAATACCATCCACCTTTTTCAAAGAAATGGAACAAATCATCCTAACATTTGTATGGCACCAGAAGAGACCCCGAATAGCCAGAGGAATATTGAAAAAGAAAAGCAAAGCTGGCGGCATCACAATTCCAGACTTCCAGCTCTATTACAAAGCTGTCATCATCAAGACAGTATGGTACTGGCACAAAAACAGACACATCGATCAGTGGACTAGAATCGAGAGCCCAGAAATGGACCCTCAACTCTATGGTCAACTCATCTTTGACAAAGCAGGAGAGAATGTCCAATGGAAAAAAGACAGTCTCTTCAACAAATGGTGTTGGGGAAAATTGGACAGCCGCATGCAGAAGAATGAAACTGGACCATTTCCTTACACCACACACAAAAATAGACTCCAAATGGTTGAAAGACCTAAACGTGAGACAGGAGTCCATCCAAATCCTAAAGGAGAACACAGGTAGCAACCTCTTCGACCTCAGCCGCAGCAACTTCTTTCTAGAAACGTCGCCAAAGGCAAGGGAAGCAAGGACAAAAATGAACTATTGGGATTTCATCAAGATAAAAAGCTTTTGCACAGCAAAAGAAACAGTCCACAAAACCAAAAGACAACCGACAGAATGGGAGAAAACATTTGCAAATGACATATCAGATAAAGGGCTAGTATCCAAAATCTATAAAGAACTTATCAAACTCAACACCCAAAGAACAAATAGTCCAATCAAGAAACGGGCAGAAGACATGAACAGACATTTTTCCAAAGGAGACGTCCAAATGGCCAACAGACACATGAAAAAGTGCTCAACATCGTCCGGCATCAGGGAAATCCAAATCAAAACCTCAATGAGATAGCACCTCACACCAGTCAGAATGGCTAAGATTAACAAGTCAGGAAACGACAGATGTTGGCGGGGATGCGGAGAAAGGGGAACCCTCCTACAGTGTTGGTGGGAATGCAAGCTGGTGCAACCCCTCTGGAAAACAGTATGGAGGTTCCTCCAACAGTTGAAAATAGAGCTACCCTACGATCCAGCAATTGCACTACTGGTTATTTACCACAGAGATACAAAGGTAGGGACCCGAAGGGGTACGTGCACCCCAATGTTTATAGCAGCAATGTCCACAATAGCCAAACTGTGGAAAGAGCCAAGATGTCCGTCGACAGATGAATGGATAAAGAAGATGTGGAATATATACACGAGGGAATATTATGCAGCCATCAAAAGGAATGAGATCTTGCCATTTGCAACGACGTGGATGGAACTGGAGGGTGTTATGCTGAGTGAAATAAGTCAATCAGAGAAAGACATGTATCATATGACCTCACTGATATGAGGAATTCTTAATCTCAGGAAACAAACGGAGGGTTGCTGGAGTGGTGGGGGGTGGGAGGGACGGGGTGGCTGGGTGATAGACATTGGGGAGGGTATGTGCTATGGTGAGCGCTGTGAATTGTGCAAGACTGTTGAATCACAGATCTGTACTTCTGAAACAAATAATGCAATATACGTTAAGAAAAAAAAAAGAAGAAGAAGAAGATAGCAGGAGGGGAAGAATGAAGGGGAGAAAGCCGGAGGGGGAGACGAACCATGAGAGACGATGGACTCTGAAAAACAAACTGAGGGTTCTAGAGGGGAGGGGGGTGGGGGGATGGGTTAGCCTGGTGATGGGTATTAAAGAGGGCACATTCTGCGTGGAGGACTGGGTGTTATGCACAAACAATGAATCATGGAACAGCGCATCAAAAACTAATGATGTAATGTATGGTGATTAACATACCAATAAAAAAATTTAAAAAAAAGAAGCTGATTCTTCAGGTTTTTCTCTGTATTTTGTGAAGCATTCGCATGCGTCAGAGCCGACGGGAAGGCTTGCTAAAGGACAAAGTTTCTGAGAATCTGCATTCCCAACATGCTCCCAGGTGCTGCTGAAGTGCTGGCCTGGGACCACCATACTTTGAGAGTGACTGCCCTGGAGCAAAGATTCTGTGATTGAATGGGAAAAAGGCAAAGTCACTTCAATAATGTTCAAGGCATTTCCCTCGTTCCAAATGTGACCCGCTGGATTCGGGGCACCAAAGACTCCTCCTCTCCGAGATTCTGATGGAAAAGCATATACACAAAGAACTAAACCAAATAGGGCAGAATACCGGATTTCTACCAGAAGTCTAGGACTCCCGAGTCAAGAGAACTGGAGACTGTAGCAGGGACCAGAATCCAAAGTTAGAAGCCTTCCTTCTTCTCCCTGAATGGAAGAGAGCTAGTTGCATCTAATGGGGCCACCTGACCACCAAAGAGTTACAGTCCGAGATGACTCAGCTGGACCTGCCAGAAAGAGAACTTCTTTGGTGTGCATATAGGATGGAACAAGGAACCAAAAGTGAGGGTCATGTCTGGTCACAGCAGGTTAAGAGGAAGAGAATACCATCTGTTTCCTGTTCTTGAAAAATAAAAATATTCAGCAAGTGCCTCAGGGATGCGGGGAATTTGGTGCACAGCCGTGAACAAGGAAGTTTGCCGCCGCCCACTACTGTGGCACCGTGTGTCAGCCGACTGAGACCCAAGTAACTAAAATACCAGATATTAAATTAATTCTTTGTTCCAGGCATACCCAGCATGAAAGAGGTATAAGTGTTTGGGGTTTGGTTTTGTCTTGTTTGAGAGAGAGAAAGAGAGAGAGCGCGGGCCGGTGTGCTGGGGAGGGGCAGAGGGAGAGAGAGAGAATCTTAAGCAGGCTCCAACCTAGGGCTCATCTCCGGACCCTGAGATCAGGAAAACAGGTATAACTCTTATTCGATGTCTTGGATGCGATAGGAAACGTTCCCATAAGATTGGATAGAAGGTGAACCTTTCCCTATGAATTTTTCACTGTGCTGAGTCCTCTCTTGTCACTGTGGCACCACTGATGCTCCCCGAGGCTCCCTTCTCTGCATCCCGGGGAAGGAGCCTAGAAGGACATTCCCTATCATCCCTTCTCCCTTAGGTCCTGGTTAGCGTCTGCCAAAGAGAGGCACTCCCTCGAGATTCGGAACGTGGATGAGAAGGAGCACCATTGTCCGGAAGCCTTTGCAAACACACAGCGGTTGTGCTTCGAGGCTGACGACATGAGAACCGCCTGGCTCAACGCCCCAGTTCGCTCCCCAGACGCTTGCATCCCCAGCCCTCCCGGGCTTGGGCAAGCCTCTCATTTCCTAGGTGGACTTCAGTTTTCCTAATCAAATACTCTGTATAAGTGATGGGAGCTGCAATATTTCTGGAAACAATGGAAGCAAGATGAAGGAGGATCCAGAGGTGGAAAAGAGCATGGTCCAGCAATTCTGGGGCGTACAGGATGAGGCTCAGACTGGCGTCCTGTGCAGGTGTTTCCATCACAAGAGGTTTGTGCCAAATATCTATGAAAATTCTCATCTGACAGGCTTAAAAGATTCTGAGATAGCCATCCCACCAACCTGACTTTTTGCCCTGAATTTACAGCATGTCTTCATCGATTTGGGAATGTGTTAAGACACACTCAAAATATTATTTGGGCAGTGCCTTATATCACACCTCTCCTCTAGCTCTAAAGAAAAATACTTGCAGCTTTTCAAATTTCAAATTGATTCATCTTTGATATCATTAAACAGGTCTTGTCTTTTATGGACGATGGTTTGCTGTCTTAATATGTCTTTCTTATTTTGATACTTTAAAATTCTTGGGCTTTTCTGAAAACTTTCCACCCAAACTTTTCATACCCACAGTAGTTATTTATTTATTTTTCTCTCTCTCCAGCTAAAAGTGTTGTTTTTTGTGTGTGCAATAATCCAAGCTGCTTTTAAGTGGCCCAGGTTACAAGCTCAGACCCTGCTAAAAATTGTTTAGAATGGATTTGTTGGACGTTCAATTCTGGCTCCAGTTACTCGTTTTATCAACTTTGTTTCTGATTGTTGAGAGGAAACATTTTATCAGAATTCTTATGTGTATGCTGAAAATGTCTCTAACCACTTTTTCTCTGGCCTTGCTGGACTGCAGGAAATTGCAATTGTTACCGGTCAAGAATTTTGTAACGTATCTTCTTCTAGTCTCTTTCTCTCTCTCCATTTCTGTCATAGCGCTTGCCCGGTCATCTCCGTTTGTTCTGCATCGGTGTTATGCATTCATTTTGTAAAATATTTGATTTATTTAGAGCGAGGGCACGAGCAGGGGGAGGGGCAGAGGAAGACGGAGAGAGAGAGACTCCCAAGCCGACTCCATGCTCTGCTCTACCCCAGGACCCTGAGAACCACGACTTGAGCCATCCAGGTGCTCCTGCCTTCATTTTAAAGTTCAAAATCTGTCCCTATTTATTTTTAAGCTAAAAATCAATTTAAGTATATTATGAATAAAATAATAATCAGTCTTTAAGCTGAATTGCCAAGTACAATGTAGGTAGGCGTTACTGTGACTCATCCTGTCTATATCAAGTATTCAGACAAAAGTATTGCATCAGTGAAAAAGGATTATTCGAACAGAATCGATCTATTGACATGACTAGCTCAATGACGGGCTTATGTGTAACACTAAAAACAGTGCACATGGCCAACATTTGCATTGCATCACAGCAATAACATGTGATAGGACAGTTGGAGGGAAATTTATTTCTACTTGAACAACAAAGCTGTGTTTCATGGTGAAGTATCTTACACTGCTTCTGTTTTGAAATTTCAATTAAAGCTCATTATAATTATGTAAAATGCTACACTTCTTCTCAGGTGTGCCAGCTACATTTCAAGTGCTCCGTAGCCCCATGTGGCTAGTGGCTGCCATATTGAATACTACAGCTTCTAGAAAATACTCAAATATTTGGAAATCAAATACATACTCCTAAATAATCCATGAATGAAAAAAGACATCACAAAGAATATAGAAAATATTCTAAACTGAATGATAGTGAAAACAGGATATACAAAAGTTTGTGAGACATAGATACGCGTGTGTAGAGGAAATTTCTTTTTTCAAAAAAATAAAGATGTATTTGTTTATTTTAGAGACGAAGGGGAAGGGCAGAGGGAGAGGGAGAGAAAGAATCTCAAGCAGACTCCCCACCAAACCCAAGAGCCTGAGACCATGACCCGAGTCCTAATCAAGAGCGGGCCACTTAACTGAATGAGGCAGCCAGGAGCCCCGAGAGGAAAATTTCATAGATTTCTATCCTTACGTTAGAAAAGAAGAAATTTTAACAATCTATAGGTATTGTGGATAACATGCTGTAGAGACTCAGGATATTACTACCTTCTGAAGAATATTGAGTTTGTTTTAGCAGGCACTTAAAGTACTGGCAGATCACTTTGACTTTGGGAAGGCTTGGTTTTAGCCATCACTCGCAAGGGATTACTTCAACCTTGTTCTTCTATTAGGGCAAATCTGTTTGTCCTGATATGGTTTTCACACCTAAAATATGACCCGTTCAGTATTCCAGTGGAATGTTTGATGAACTAGAACCTCAGATTCTGTCTTTGCTGCCATGGGCAACTGCGGACATCTGTCACATCTCTTTCAGGCTTCCAGAAAAAATTCCTCCTGGACCCTTTGGGGATGACAGTTCCTTATCACGTCTGCCTGCATTTGGTCACTTCCCTGGGCCTTCGAACAGTTGTTGTAAAATTGTTATTATTTTGTACTTTCTACATAGGTTATCAAGTGTTATTACAGGAGCACTGGGAGCTGGAAACTCAGCCCCGAGACTTCAAACAGCTGTTCTGACCCAGCAGGGAGGAAACAGCCTTGTAGGCACTGACCCCTTCTAGTTGCCCAAATCCCCATCTTTCATGCTTTGCTCCAGTGTAGAGATGTTTCTAGAAAGGCACAAATTGTAAAGTTGGCTATTTTCATAGCCTTGGCCAAGACAACCCCGCGTCCTCAGCCCACCCCCACCTCCACCCACATCACATCTTTCTTACTGGTACGTAGACTGGAGTTTCCAGAACATACCCACGCATGCCTTCCCCATTCTGTGAGGCTCAGGCAGTGATGGTGGTGCAAGAACTATCCCTCCCCCTGAAATGTGGTGGGAGTTTGCTCCCTTGATCTTTCATCATAAAGGAGAAAAAACAAACAAACAAACCAAAAAACCCCACTGCATTTGATGCAATTAAAACCAATCCCTTTAGGGTTTTGAATGACTGACAACGTTTTGAGTGACTTGCCATTGAGAGTCACTGAAAGGCTATCATTTGGTCAATGCTTATATTTTCTGTTATGAAACTTAATGAAACTAACAGTCAAAACAAGATCACTCAAATTACAGAAATTAATCTTCTAATGGAAATGCAAATGATTTTAGCTTTTACTCCATAGCTCTGAAGTTGGGAGTCTACTCACTTGGAGGTATGACGGCCTTGATCCATTTACCCTTGGCGTGTTTACCAATCGTCCCAAACCTAATGGAAGACAATTCCAACTGGAATGCCCGTTGTTTCTTTTCTGATAATGAAACAAGTGATTTTAACTCTCACACAGAAGAATAAACGCCTGAGAATAACAAAGGAAATATAACCATGTAGACTGAGGAGGAAATCGGGTGTGCCGTACTACACTCAAAGCCTCTGTAATCAAATCAGCATTTTATTCATAACAAAGGAAAAAAGTCGAAGACCAAAACAGAATTGAAAATCCTGACATGGATCTTTGGGAATATGAAAACTTCTTACATGATGAATGTTGTGTTTCAGTTCAGCGGGGAATGGGCATATTTAATAAATGGCTCTGGCACAAGGACTATCTCTCTCTTTTTTTTTTTTTTGAGAGGAGATTTTTATTGATTTGAGAGAGACAGGGATAGAGAGAGAGATAGCGAGAGAGCAGGAGTGAGGGGAGGGAGAGGGAGAAGCAGGCTCCCCCCCTGAGCAGGGAGCCCGACGCGGGGCTCAATCCCAGGACCCCGGGATCATGACCTGAGCCGAAGGCAGCCGCTTAACCCTCTGAGCCCCCCCAGGCGCCCCCACAAGGACTATCCTAAGTATACACTCAAAATAAGTCTCTGTGGTGCCTTGAGACCCTTTTCTGAACCTCCCAGCAGAAGAAATGCTCCAGCTTTCTTAGGAGTCCATTGAGTCTGGGGAAGGTGGGTGTCATGGATTGTAGAGAATCTCCAACCAGAGGGCAGGTGTCCAGACAGACCTGAGGCCGTGTCTTCTGATTTCGGATTGCCCTCCCGCACTGTCTCCCCCACCTCCAGTTCCCACCTCTCCCGGAAGAAGGTAGCTGGAGGCCCTCGGCCCCACAGCTGCAGGAAAGGAAAAGAGGAGCATATTGGGAGGCATTTTGCCCCGGTCTGCTCCTATTCGGTTTCCATCAGTTGGTCAGACTCCCCAGAAGCCCCTAGAACCTCGAAGAAGCTGAGGGGCCCCTGAGGCGCCTCCATGTCCTTATGCAGTCAGGTGGCCAGAGCCAGACACCCCCCCGAAATCCTGCCGTCCTCCCCAATCGCAGGTGGCTTCTGAGGGACCCTGTCTGTAGGAGCAGCCCTCCAAAAGGACACCCCCGTGTTGCAGAGGTCTCCCCCCTCCAGCCGGCAGGCTACTCCCTGCAGTGTTTAAGTCATCCAACTGCTTCCTTTGCAGGTTGCCTGGAAGGGCGGATGAGGGCCCCGGGGTGCGAGCGGGGAACTGGGGAACGCACCCGCCTCTCGGCGCATCAGACACCCCCCAGGAGCCTGGGGTGGCCAGCGACCCCCGGGGATGGAGAGAGCAGGGGACGGGGCTGGCAGCCGGCTCCAGGGGCCGCGGTCCAGCGTAAGCTCAGATGGGCGCGCTCTTGAGCAGCTGTCTGTGAGCCTTCTCGAATTCCTTCTGCAACCGGCACAGTCCCTCCAGCAGGGGCTCCTGGAGGGGCGCCCCTTCGGAGCCCTGCCCGCGGCTGATCGGCGTCTCCCGCGCGGCCCGCAGCAGGTCGCGCTGCTGGGAGTCCCGGTAGGCCGGGTACCGGTAGGAGCGGCCCTCGTTTTCCCACAGGACGCCGTCCACCAGCTGCAGCAGCTCCCGCAGCTGCGCCTCCTGCCGGGCGCCGGCCGCCGCGTTGTCGAAGGCGCAGTGGCGCCGCGCGCACAGCGCGTCCAGCTGGGCCAGGTGCTGGTTGTCGGTGGCCCGCACGTACTCGTCCAGGGAGCCGCCCTCCAGGTCCTCCTTGCGCGTGAACACCAGCACCGTGTGCGCCAGGACGCCCACCCCGAAGGCCTCCTGCAGGCGCCGCACGGCCCGCCGGTCGTCGCTGGTGAAGCGGCCCAGCTGCGTCACCAGCAGCAGGGCGTGCGGCCCGGGCGCCGAGAAGGCCACCGCCTCGCAGATGGCCCTTGTCGCCGCCTCCGGCCCGGCCCGCGGGGACAGGATGTCGGGGGTGTCGATCACCTCGAGCTTCCGCCCGGCCCAGTCGCGGCTGCCCCGCTGGAGGGTCAGGGTGACCGGTCGAGGGCTGAGTTTAGACTCGAACTCTCTCCGGCCCAGGATGCTGTTTCCGGTGGCGCTTTTCCCGCTGCCCGTTTTGCCCACCAGGAGCAGCCTCAGTGTCCGCGGGCTCCGTGGGTCCTCCCCGAGGCCTAGAAGCACCGAGACAAAGCACAGGGGGCTGGGGTTAGAGCCGTGCCGGGTGGGGGTGGGAGAGGCGAAGACCCGGGTCTGCACCCGAGACCTGCGGGGGCTCACGTCCAGTCTTGCCTTTTTTTTTTTTTAATTGTGGTAAATACACGATATAAAAAATATATACTATGACATAAAATTTATCACTGTACTCACTTTTAGGCGTGCAACTCAGTGGCGCTCAGGACATTCACAGTGTTGTGCAGTCATCTCCACCGAGCATCTCAAGAACGTTTTCCTCACCCCAAGTTGTAATTGCATTTGCTTTTCTGTGTCTGGCTTATTTCGCTTAGCATAGTGTTTCCCAGTTCATTCATGTCGTAGCTCGGGTTAGAATTTCCTTCCTTTTGAAGGCTGAATACTACCCCGTTGCAGGGAGAGAGCACTTTTTGTTGATTCATATCCACACATGAACATTTGGGTTGTTTCCGCCCTTTGTTACTGTGAATTGTGCGGCCCTGAACATCAGGGTACAAATGTCTCTGAGTCCCCGCTCTCCATTCTGTTGGGTATCTACCCCGAAGGGAGACTGCCGGCTGGTGAGGTTTTCGAACTCCTTCTCAGGGCCGTCTCTTCCCACCCAGGTGGGAGATTAGCCCAGCATGAATATGGGACCCTGAGCTTTGCCGAAGATCCCTGACTGAAGATCCTTCTCGGTAAGAGAAGGAAGAGAAGAAGTATGTGGCCTCTGTGTCTAGGTCCTCCGTCTGAGGCAACTGACCGCGTCACCTTCTTCAGCTTTTCCCACTGGGAAGGTTGGGAGTGGGGGACCACCTCAGCCAGACCCCAGGCTCCAAGCGCAGAGGCATGCTGGCTCCACATTCTTGGGCAACAACCTGAAAGTTTGGGCTGGACGTTCTCACCCCGCAGAATATCAGAACCATGAGCAGAGAGAAAAGACCGGGAGATGCCCCCTTAATATGGAGAAGCCCAGGGTGAGGATTCTTAGACACACCTGGGGCCGAGGGGCAGGAGGGGAGTTCCTTTCGGGCCTTTCCGATCCCAGACCCAGAGCACACAGAGCAATGCCACATCATAGCTGGTTTCCAGGTCTGTTCCCCACTGAAGAGACTGACGTGTCTCCGTGTCAGAGCCCTCGGCCTCCTGAAGGCAGGATGGGCCTGTCTTCCTGACTCTCCTGAGCAATGGCATGCTTTTCTGCTGTCGCCCCGCTGCCTATCAGGACTGAGTGGCTTTGGCTCCCTCTGGCTTCCCCTGGCGGGCTTGAAAGGAATGTGGGTGAGTGGGTGGGAGCTTCCAGGAAGCACGCAGAAATTTCTGGCAAATTTCTTATGTGGCTTATTAAAAAGGCTCTCGCCCGGTGCCTCAGGCCATAGAGGTTCATAGAGTAAAAAAAAAAAAAAAAAAGGCCGTTTGTGTAAAAATACACAACGAATCACAAATAATTTCTGCTGGCCAGGAAAATGGATGGATTTCCAACATTCCCAGATTCCGTCTCCCCAGGTGAGATGGCCATGTTGAGCCCTCGGAAGTGGCGTGCCTGACCGTGATGCAATAGCTTTTGGGGGGACAGAGCCCCGTGAGAAGGCTAGGCCCGGTTCGGAGGCAGCAGTCGGCCGAGGACACTCTGCTTGTCCCCGGGGTGCTCTGCAGCCCGTAGGACCCCAGGAGCTCTCACATGGGCTCCGGCCAACAGGGTCTGTTGCTTTCAGAGCCTCAGGCCCGGGTGAGCCGTTTGGTCACCCTGAGCATCGGCACATGCCTCCTGGGGACGAAAGCCCAGAACGCACGGACCCTTTCCCTTGGGCCTGGCACAGAGACTTCGTAAAGGGGGCAACGAGCACTGTGTCTCCCCTTCCTTTCGCCTGCTCCGCCTCTCGGGGACCTTTCCCTCTTACTTGGCTGCAGTAGAGAAGGGCCCCGACCCAAAGGCCCTCTGACGGCGGCCCGGGTGGGCACATCTCTGACCGGGTTGAGCCCCGCTGCCTGTCCCAGCGCACCACCCGCTCTCCGAACGTCCCCATCCACACCCCGCTCACGTTCATTTCTGCCAGGGAGTAGTTTACCTCCTAGAATGTCTCGTCTAGGATCCTGACACAGCACTCCTGCAGGATTGTCCTCGAGAGTCTGTTCGTGTTCTTCTTCCTCTGGCTAGAGAAGATCATAATATGTCTCAGTAGTCTTTCAACAGAGTTTAAGAGGCACCTGACTTTTGCCTTTCTCTTGCCAGAAGCATTGGTTTGAGGGGGAGCAGCCTGAATGGGGGGCTGGAGGGGGTCGGAGGGGACCCCACTTCCCTTGCTCTCCTCTCTCCCCGCCCCCCACCACTGTGGTCTCTACTGTCACTCTAAGAGACTTCATGGAGAAAGGTGAGTGGCCCTGCCGGCTCAGGAGTGGGTGACATTTGGATAGACAGGGACCTGGAGCTGTTCTGTGAGGACAGAAAGGAGCAGAGGGCAGAGGCAGGTCTGATCCTGGGTCCTGAGAGTGGTGGAAAGATCTGGAGGGCACGGGCAGGGAGTTGTGGCAGGGGACTGGCCTGGCGTGGCGGGGGGGAGTCCCAGGGGTGTCTTGGGCCAAAAAGAACCATCCAGGCCTGACCTGTGGGGAAGGCTCGGCAGTGAGGATTGCAGAGGGCAAGAGGTGGGTGGCCGGGTTCTGCGGTGAGGACGACAGGGAAGGGGCCTTCGGGCTGGGGGGCAGAGTCCCGCTGAGAGCCAGGGGACCTCAGTGCTTCTCTCCAACCACCATCATTACGAGGGCCACACTGCCTGGGCCCTAGTGTTCCCGTAAGTGTGAGTGCGGGGCCTGAGCTAAACGTCCCTGAGATCTCCTCCCTTGTGAGGTTCCAACACACTTTAGCACATCTGCTAGAGCAACTCCTAGTCCTCCTTGCAAAGTAGGGCCATGTCCTTCTGACCAGGACCGCAACACACACCCACGCTCACAAACACACACACCCACACTCACATATACACACAAACCCAACACACACCCACACACTCACAAACCCAACACACACCC